CCCCCCCCCCCCCCTTCCATTTACAACCCGTACAGAACTAGCACCAAAGAACCGATTTTGACAGAATCCGACAAAATTTTTCGGCTGATTCGGGAAATTCGCCACTAATTTCAATCAGATCGGTGGTGTTCGTTTCTTATCCTCGAATAAGGGAAATCCCTCTCCTAAACATCGAGACCAGTAAGTATGCTTCTCCGAAGTAAACCCTCCTCCCCTCTCCCCCCGCCAAAGCACCGAAGGATTTTTCCTTCACTTTCAAAAAAATCCATCGAAATTTGGATATGTGGCAGTCTTCGGAAACTCACATTGTAGAAGTTTTGTTTTTCAGAAAGTTAAATTTGAGCGGGAAAATGGCGTGCAAACAAATCGGGCCAATTTTTACTACTAAAATACAAGCAAAATAACGGTAAATTTTCCATCCCAATAATTGAGATCGCTTTGCGGAAAGAACTCACGCACGTACGTGGTACGTGCCGAAACAGGCACTGTGGCTATGGAGATAGCTAAACTACTCGGAATGACTCCAATCGCCATAATGGAAATTATGGTGGAAAAATTGCACTCATGACTAGAACAGATCTTCAGAGAAACTAGGAATTCGAAGATCTTAAGTAAGGGTATGAAAAGTGCAACAATAGCTGGGGAAGGAGGAGGAAGAGGAGGAGGAGGAGGATAATTGAGTTTGGAACTCGAAATAACTCAACGGTGTTCAGGCGAATGAAATTGCATGCAGCGAGATAGAAATGGAAATTCCAAAAATTAGAAAAACAATTAACTTGGAAAGAAAGATGAGGAGCACTCTTAGGGCTCAAACCCGCCCAGTAACCCGGCAAAGCGAACATAATCAAGATCAGCAAGTGTTCTGACCTGTACATGCGTTACCCAGGATCGTGTTTGACCAACCGCGGGCGAAGAAAGCACTCACGTTGCTACTCACGTATGAACACGTGAAATTTGACGTAACTCTGCAACAGGAGCAGCTGGAGTGCTGAAACTTTCTGAGCGCTACCCAGGACCGTGTTTGACTAACCGCGGGCGAAGAAAGCACTCACGTTGTACATGCTGGCGCACCTCGGACCACCTCTCTAACGCACTGTAAACGAGGCGTCACATGCGCACTGTAAACGAGGTGTCAGATGCTCTGTGTCAGTGTTTACAGCTAAGGGATGAAACATAGGCTGCAAATTTGCCTGTTGCATTTAAATATGTAATTTTTAAACAATCTTACAAAATATATATATATTTTACAGTGAGCCCAGGGCGAGTTTCGCTTCCCTACAGTACTATGAGTTACGAAAATTGGCTGCAATCGAGCGATCATCGAGAAGGGCACATATTCCCCAGCAAAAGCAGCAAAAAAAAAGTCTGTGGTAGCCGAAAAAAGTGTACACATATCAGCGCATTCCAGTCGTGTGCCAGTACCAATTTACCATCGAAACACAGAAAATGTGCGCGAAAATTTAGTGCCACCAAGCAATCGGAGGGTTTTGCTTGAAGCCAGTAACATATCCATCCAGGGGGGTCCATGCATTACTGCTGATGCTATTTGTTTGCTCAATTGCCA